AAGACATGAATTTGACTATGTATGTTCCCATTACACATATCTAAAGAATATAGAACAAGTGGGTATTAACTTCTATAAATAATACTTTAAAGATAAATTCGACAAAAATTTTGTTTTATGCAAAACAAAACTGAATAAAATTTTAAAGAGACTACATGAAATATGTTTATTAGTCTGGAAAAAAAAGCGTGAAACCTTCTATAAATACCGTATATTATAAGCTGAAAAACTGGGCAGTGGGTCTGACTGCAAGGACCAAGAACAATGGAGGAGGCAGGGAGCGAGCCAGCGTTCAGCAATTACGCCCTTTCACTTAGGACGAAAGGGATCCCGCAGGCAACAGAATACAAGCAACAGTAAAGATGAAGAATGAGGTCCTACATCATTTATTCATTATTTCTTTATTGGGCATCTACTCTCTGCAAGGAGCAATCCTATATAGGAAACCATAGTGCCAAAACTACTGAGTCACCTAGATATAGATATCACCTTGTTGATCCCTTTATTTTGTAAGAAAAGACACCGAGGTATAAAGAGAATAAGAGACTTAGTCACAAAAGTCACAGAGTCCCCAGAACAGTGGCATATCTATGACGAGAAACGTGGTGACTTGACTCTCGAGTCTGGTGTTTTCCCCCATCCCATGTGTGCCGCTAGGTAGGCCCTGGGTGGGATTCAAAAATATACAAGACAAAATCACTAGCTTCACATTGCTTAAAGTTAAACTGGATAGCTACCAAAAAATACAAGTGACTAAATACAAAGCAATCCGTGGTAAGCACCAGCAGAGATTACCAGGGTACAGACAGAGACGCATACAGAAAAAAGGGATCAATCACTTCCAGCCACTGTAATCTAGAAAGCATAATGGCTCATGAGCAGGGCCATGAAGGACAGGAATGGTTTTAAAAGGATGATTAGGCAGGAAGAAATTATATTCTTGCCACGGAGCATCATGAGTCAAGATCTGGAGAGGTAGAAAAGCAACAGGCAGTCAGAGAATAACGAGGGGTCCATACTGCACAGTGTGGTGCTGAAGAGAAGGAGACGTTAGGCTGGGGTCAGACTGCAGACAGACAGCCTCTGATGTCAGACTTTAGAGAAAAGTGTAACAGGGTCAGAACAGAGCTTCAGGCAATTACTCTGATGGCTGTATGCTCAGTGGCAGGGAAGGTAAACTGGAAGACGAATTAAGAAACTCCTACAACAATTAAGAAAAAAAAAAAAGAGAAAAAACTTCCTGCTACATGAACCAGTATGAGCCAGAAAAAACAACTGAAGGGCAAAATTTGAATGACAATCCTATACTGAATGACTTCAAATCTAAGAAAGTGGAACAATTTCACAAAAAATGTAAGCAATAAGTCTACAACATGCTTAACTTGGGATTTGTACATACACTTGGCTGTGTCTCCAAAATTCACCTATTTCTTCAAAGGAAACAAACCATTATTCCCATATAACTTGCCAAGCATCTTGTAAACAGAACAATTTGCTATGGACGTTCAAAAATGTGCAAATGTTTACCACAGAAAAAGTTCAGAGTGTACCTGGTGTCAAATCTATAAACCTAACATTGACTGAGAACTTCATAAGCTCCCTGTATATCTCCACAAGCCTATTTAAGTACACATGGTCACCTTAAAAAAAAAATCTGCTCTAATGATTAGATGACTGAAAAAGTATAAACTATCATTTATTCCACATAGTACAATGTTCAGACTTTAACAACTAAGACATTTACGTCACTAAGCTACCATCTGTCAATTCTACCAAGGTCTAACAGCCACATGATTTTTAAACTCCTCATATCTTTCAGGAAGACTGATGAAGACAAGATTGCATAACAGTGTAGAAAAGAATAGCTGATGACTAACTACACAGGTAACTTTCAATTCTTCTAATTAAATGAACTAATTTGCCCTAAATACTTTCCAGATTCCTTCCCTAAAAAATGTGACCAAACTTTAAACTACATTCAGGACATTCCACTGACCATTTAAAGACCTATAAAGAGATCGAGGTAATTAATGAGGATCCAAATAAATGTTAATAATTATGTTCTCAGGAACCACCCTTCTCAATGTCACTTCGGTTGTCATGACCTGAAACTGTAATGAGGTAGATGGGATAATCACCTCAGGGATGGCAACCACAAAAAGTTTCCTCAAACTCTTTTAATTAAAAACCGGTACTCAAGAAACCAAGAGATGATTCTTAACCTTTGAGAATATCATCAATAATTACTTTCACAAATGCATGGAATTATTAGCCTTAAAGTAATTTGTTATTTTTCTTTCATCTTCTCTTTTCCAATTTTATTGCCAAGTGACTGGCCTTAGCTAGGCTTTTAATCTCTTTTGCCTAATCTACTGTAAAACTGTCTCCTAACTGGCCTTTTTGGCTCTGGTATTAAAGACCATCAGTACATCTTAACATCTGTTTATTTCCTTATTACATGTTGTTAAGTTACAAAATCTCTCTGCAACATCTCAGACCTATTACCAGAGCCACTGCATTTTGGTGGTTCTATTCATTCAGAAAAGCCTAAGAGCATAAAAGGGAAACCCTTCTGCACAGATTTCGAGAGTAAGTCCCCTTCTATTCAAGCCTGTTCCCTTAAAGCTTTAGTCAATG